TTGTGTCTTTATCCAGTGTCACCGTTGCCAAAGGCCGTTCACCGACTAGTTTATTTTCAACTATCGACCTGTCGTATCAATATTTCACCAAATATTAACTAAACTGAAAAGAAGTTTTCGAACAAACGTTAATTTGCGTGTGTTAATTGACCAAAGTCGGTTATTTTATAGCTCTAATCATCTCTAACAGCTATCAATTTGTTTAATTTTATATTAAAGAAGCTATTGATACATTGCTGTTTACGACGATATTCAGATACCTCGTTTTGTTTTAATTTTATCTTCATTTCATCTAGAAGTGAGATTATACAACCGAGATTAAATTTGCAGAGAATGGAGAGTGTATATTTGCGGTGGAATTTGTTAGCTGAGCAGCTACCACAACAAAATTGTTTGCATTTGCAAGGAACAATTCAACTGAAGGAACACAAAAGCATAAAGCATATAAAATCAGTAAGGTATATAATTTCTTCTTTGGAATATTTTACTAATTAGGAATGCGAATGTCAATTTTATCAAATGCAATTCTCAATTAAACTAGCTGTCTACTTTCATCGTCTCAATTTCTTTGTGTTTCTATTCTTGTCTTTTGCAACAATAGCAACTGTTGAATATAGAACCGATCCAGTTGTGGTTCGGCAGATTTTATATTATTTTTTTTTGATTTTACATTAATTTTATATTATATTAGATGCGACTATCCTTAGTCGTGATTTTCATGCACAATGCAAAGGGAAGGGGAAAAGGTATAAGACCGATGGAAAGCAGAGTGGATTAAGCACGGTAGTGACAGATTTGTTTTATAGCCACGCCACATTTCATCTAGTTTTCATCGCAAGTACTTGCGCCAAGTGCAAAAGCCGAACCTCGCGCGTTCGTTTATTACAGTTTGTTGCTTCAAACTATTTTGTATCGCGTGGCTTTTCAATTAGCCCGACTGTGTACGTTTCATTATCTTATATACATATACTAGTTTCAATTAAAACTCTGTGGCTCAAATCACCGCAGTCAATAAAGTTATGAAAACATCTTGTAGTCTGTAAAGTATTTTCAACTAATGCAATTGAAGTAAATTGCGTTTTCGCAATATTCTCTTTTCATATTATAAATAATATCATAAATAGGTTTTCTTATTGAAAGAAATTCGGATTATTTACTTAACGCTTCCAATATCTTTTGTCGTAGAAAATGTACTCTAATGTTGCTGCTTTTTTCGTTTCAGCAACAATTTCGTATTACGTAGTTAAATGTACAACTAAAGATAAGATATTTTGTTTCTTTTGTATATAAATATATATTATAATTATTCTAAAAATCTTTTTCTCTTTTTTTTTTTTACGAGAAAAATTTAAAATTAAGTTTTCAAACAAATTATGCTGTTATTTTAAAAAATGTAATAGGAAGTAGTAGAAAGAGAAAATTTTTCTGGTAAAAGATTCAGACTTATGTTCAGCGAAACAAAGATTGTACACAATTTGTTCATAGAACAAAGTAACTTGTCACTTTTGTACAAGCTGATTTACTACTCAACAAATTTTAACTTTTTTTTACGTTCCAATATTCAAATGATTTTTATAAAGTTTTCAATACAGATATGAGAATTGTTCTTTTTCTCATAATTATTTCATTCATTCAATTATACTCACAATCAGCTCGCTTCACTGTTGTATTTGTTAATTCTTTAATTACATAAGTAATGATAGGACCGAATATGAAATTATTATATCCCATTGTGACAAAGGTTTCGTAAAAGTTTGTTATTGTTATTTTTTTATCATTGTTGTACTTTTCAAAATATTTTATTAAATAAAATAATAAAATTTAATAAAAT